GAGAGAGAGAGAGAGAGTATGCTATTTACTTAAAAGAATATATAGCTAGTTTGTTGTCATAATAAAAGTAGTTGTCATTTCTGCAATTTTCTTTACAAAGAGATTTTTTTCTTGTAATTTTTGTAAATGGCATGTTTTGGTACTCATTCCATTCCTTAAAAGTAGTAATTCTTAAGCCAGCCTGGGTTAAAGGTGATTTTCTAAATCAATTTTTGGGTAAAAAAGGTGCTATTCAAGTAACTTAGTAGGTCTTCTATATTTCCCTGAAATTATCTTACTCTTGAAATTGAATTGTATACTTATCAATACTTCTAAGACCCACCCGGCACGTTGATTCTTGACGTTACTGGCCTAACTCCACATGACGAGTCAATAATTGATTGATGAAATTGGTCTTATATAGGCAAGGCCAAAACTCAACCATGTCTGCGTTTTTCGAGAGTGGCTTAGATGACTCACTGGAGTCTTGGTGTTTTAGTCGAGTTCATCATGCTGCCTCCCCAAGTTATTGTGGATGGTTTTTAAAAGACGCTAAGTAGTTCTCTCATATCGCTAACAATGATGGGGCTTTTAAAACCTAGTATAGACCCGTAACTAACTACATGGTGCCTTAACAAAGGAACAGTTTTTGGTGATTCCAGCGGGTTCATGAGTCCGCACCAGGTTTCAAGGCTTTTAGGACATGAAACACATCCTAAATCACTGGAGATATATTTATGCTTCAGATCCATAAGTTGAGAGCTCCAAAAAAAGTGTAGATCTAATGATCTTTGTAGAAGGGAGATGAATGGTCCAAAAAAAGGGTACAAGATGGACGATTTTAAGGCCCAACAGTTTTTGGTTATCGTGGTGGTTGAGATGCTGGACTTGTAGATATTTGGATCCAAAATCCATCTCCAAGATGTGGTTTGGAAGGGTGGACAGGACTAGCTAGTCATTACAATAGGTGCATCCCCCGAACTAAAACCTACACCTTAGACAAAATCTAATATGATTTTGTTTTTGGTAAATAAAATCGTATAGGATTCATTTGGTGTTTTCTGGTTGTCATTTGATAATTCTTGTGTCATGCGTGCCCATATATCTAGACTACCTGCTTCTAGGCTAGAAGTTAGGCTTTTAATGTCCTTCACTGCCATTACTTGAACACTTGTATAGTTTTTATTGGCCAGAAGGAAATAACACTTTCATATAGATCAACATTATTAATAGTCTTCCTAGTATACCACATAAGAGTTACTAACCTATAAAACAAACATAAGCTATTTATTTGTTACACTTCATCTTTTAAGTTCACGGTGAGTACAGTTTCTAAGGAGTAATATGTGGACAGAAAAGCCATTATCTGAAATATGATGGACAGACAGTTGTCATAATGGTTTCTATGATATGCATGGATAAGCCTATGGTGCTTATAGATTAAGTCTAGAGGTATTTAATCATGGCATAGGCTTTCTTTAACTTTTCATGTAAGTACAAGGACATAAACCATTCTACAAAGTGTTGTATGCTAATTTACTTGATCTCTGGCCAATTTTTGTTTGCTTGTAGGTGGGTCATGTGAAGTCCAATCCTCTTAAAATTATGTCATTCCTCTTTTTCCTTTAGCTCCAATATGATGTCTGCAAGAAGCTCCTCTATAAAATTCTTCTTCACTTCTAAAATGAGCACCCCCTTTATGGACTTTACAAACCAATGACAATTGGAGAATCTCATGTAGCTCCATATTGATGTCAAAGAGGCATAGGAAGAAGTTTTAAATTACTTTGGCAATTTTGTTGTAAATAAGGAAATTCTCTCTTATCTCTTTGCTGAATATATAAAGAGGGAATGAGGGAGGTTTGCCACCGCATCCGCCTTGCCCCTGTATGCATTCAGAAATTTAAAACCCTAAGGCTATACATGTGATGGCCAACTGCTAACAGGTGCCGCCATCATGGGGTTGAATCCACTACACTCAGCAGATGATAAAGTTACTAGCCCTTACACACTAAGAACTCTATAGAAAGTAGACCTAACCCAAAAATGTCCTGATGATAGTTAGTCAAAACAGTGCTATCTCCCCCTCAACCAGGATTAAAGACACTCTAGTAACCTAAATAGGCTGTCAACTCTCTGTACTCTCCTCCTCAAATCCCTCCTCAACTACTTAAGCACATTGATTGTCCAGAATATCTTCTTACTTTTAAAGAAGTCCTCAGTTTTTCTCCTTCAGTGTTTCTTTCAAATGTTCCGGTCTATCCGGGCTACCAAATGTGAAATTAGCAATAAAGCAATTGTAAGAAGCCCATGACAAATGAGTGAATGTTTAGCAAATGTCAGGAATATTTTGTATTTTCTTTTCCTAGATTAAAAATCGAGATATAATTGCTCAGAATTCCACTAGTTATTATTCTGAGATACTTTTCTGAATATGAATTGTGGAGGTTTGTAATTTTGGATGGCTTAACATCATGGAAGGGCAATGACACGAACTCTAGTTTTTGGGGAGTCTAGCCACATTGTCTTTCTGAAATCATTCCCATTTTGCTGGTTTTTAGTTTCCTTTTTTCTGAATAGTTTTTTGGTCAATTCTTTGTTTAAAGTATGATTTTGGTGCAGTTGTGATTAAGAGCTCTCTAAAGTAAGATTCATCTGAAGAACAAAAATGCCTTTTCTCGAGATGTGTTATCTTTGTTGTGTTAGTAGTTCTAGCCTGGCAACCCCCCCTTCCCCTCCTTTCTCTCTCCTTTTTTCCCCCCTATTGTAAGCTGTAACAAGTGGAATTTTTTTAGAAGATACGCTGTAACAAGTGGAATTTTTTTTCACTTAATCACAGTCCTACTTCTATGCCCTCCACATAAATGACTATACTTGTTTGATCAAACATCATTCTTGAGAAACGGATAACAACTTTGCTTTTGATGTCATATATAAAGGTCTTGAAGGTCTTTCCCTTCCCAATCACCATCACAACTTTACAATTTGCTGTTGGCACTGTGCTCGTTCTTATCATGTGGTCAACTGGTCTATACAAGAAGCCCAAGATCAATTCTTCACAGGTATCCTGCTGATTTCATTTTATCATCTTTTTTTTGTTTTTTTGAAATGTTTCATTTTATCATCCTTTTGTTATTTATGTTTGGTAATTCTAAATGACTATATCATGTACCATTTCCAGCTCATTGCAATCTTACCTCTGGCTGCTGTTCATACATTGGGCAACCTTTTCACTAATATGAGCCTTGGGAAAGTTGCTGTTTCCTTCACCCACACAATCAAAGCCATGGAGCCATTTTTCTCAGTTGTTCTTTCTGCACTTTTCATGGGAGAGGTGAGCCTCTCTTTTTCATTTTCACCTTTCACTAGTACTAGTCTCTTGTGGACTTCTTGGTATCAGTAAAAGTAGGGACATGGTAAGTTCACTTCATGCTCTTTTGGTTTGAAGGAAAAAAGGAGTGAATTAATAGAGATAACTGCTTCTATGCATGCTGTATATGATTACTCAGCTTCGCAATTACCTTTCATTGGTCTGTTAGTTCTTATTTCTTCTTGGGTAAATCAATAATCTGTTATTTCACTCTTCTCTGTGGAACTTCTTTAATGTGATTACCGGTCATGCAGCTGCCTACTCTCTGGGTTGTTTCTTCCCTTGTGCCAATTGTTGGTGGTGTAGCATTGGCATCTCTCACTGAAGCTTCTTTCAATTGGTAAGGAAATGAAACCTGATCAAGTTTTCAGCTTTAGTTTCATTCTAGTAAATTAGGCCTTGTTGTTAGGCTACAAATTAGAATCACAAATAAGATTAAGAAAATAACAAAGTAATTTCTTTGTTGCATTAAAAAAACGATAAATTAATCTGAAAATTGAATTGGTTGGTAACAAAGGGTTTGTTTTCTTTCTTATAGTTGAAATACCTGCTCAATATATTCTCAATCAAATTGTCTTTTATGACCTACTCATCATCGCTGATTCCCTTGTCTCATATTTTAATTATGAATGAGTTTTCACACGTACAGGCATCGTTGGCTTGCTTGCTTCTAGATTTTGTGAATATTTGTGTGAAACTGCTTTAATTTTCACTTGTGTTGTGCATTCAACTAATTGTTTACTATTCAACATCATTGGAACTTTATGCCATGCCTTTTGTTGTGTTTTTTTTTTTTTTGGGTGGGGGGGAGGGATGACTGCCTAATTGCGATGGAGAGCATTCCAGCCTTACACAAATGCTAATATATTATGTATGTGAATTGTGCATACATTGTACAATATTATTGTTAATTAGATTATATATAAATGTTTGGAAATATGTGATAAAGTATTTCTTTATTAGATTATATATAAATGTATGGAAATATATGATAAAGTAATGAAAGAAATACTTATATAAAGTATATGTATGATCAATTGAGCATTACATGTTTGAAACGATTGGTTAAATCAAAGTTTGGAAGTAACTAGCTAAATGTTGAATCGCCTAAAATCTCCTCTTCTACCCTTTCTTGGTATATCACAAAGAATCGAAACCAATTTTATATGAATTCTTGAAGTTCTTATCTTTTTAGAACTTCAAAAATTTTCAAAAATACTTATTTTTTTATTATTTTAGGAAAAACGTACTTAGGAAGCATGTGGTAGTTTTTTTTTTTTTGGTTTCTTTTTGTTTTGTTTTGTGGGTGGGTGGGGGCGAAGGGGGGGGGGGGGGGGGGGGGGGTTTGGTTAATATAGGGGAAAGTCTAAAATGCCCATGGTCCAAGGGCATTTTACTCTGCTTGCCATGGGCACACAAGGCAGGCGCCTCGGCTGAGGCACTAGGTGTACCTATGCTCCCATCTGGTTTTGCCACGCTTTGCCTGCCATGCCTCAGCTCTCGAGGTGCCGCTTAGGGGTCCGAGGTGAGCACCTTTTTAAATTCTTGTGTGTTGGTTTCAGCCAAGATGGTTGGTTCTCCCTTTTATAGTCTAACTCTTCTATGCGTTATGGAAGTTAATGCTTGGATTGCTAATATATTCTTCTTCCCACAGAAGGGGTTGAGACCATAGTTATTGTGCCTTCCAACCAAGGTGTTGACTCGATTCCGGAATCTTGCTCTTGTGTCCAGGAAAGGGAATCTCACTCCTTGATTTTTAAACTTTGGAATCTCGATCTTTCATATTAGGGATCTTGATTGTGAGTTATATGGGATCCATATTGCCTAACATTGTAGTATGGTATAACAGTGTGCAATAATATAGTAGTGTGGTATAGTATAGTAGTGTGAACTATATAGTATAGTGTATATTATAGTTATATATAATATAGGAAAGGATGAAGATAGGAAAGGCTTTAGGACCAGATGGTATCCCGATAGAGGTTTGGAAGTGCATGGGGGAAATTGGCATTGATTGGCTGACAAAGCTGTTCAACAAGGTGTTGAGAACAATAAAAATGCCAGACGAATGGAGAAAAAGTATTGTGGTACCTATTTACAAGGACAAAGGAGACATACAGATTATGCAAACTATAGAGGGATCAAGCTTATAAGCCATACTATGAAGCTCTGAGAAAGAGTAATTGGGCAACAACTAAGGCATGAAACGAGTGTATCTGAAAACCAATTTGGTTTTATGCCAGAAAGGTTAACGACTGAGGCTATTTTTCTACTTAGGCAACTGATTGAGAAGTTTAGGCGAAGGGAAAAGACCTTCACATGGTCTTTATTGATCTAGAGAAAGCTTATGATAGAGTACCTCAAGACTTGATTTGGCTGGTGTTGAAAAAGAAAGGCGTCTCTAGACACTACATCGATTTGGTGAGAGATATGTACGATGGAACAGTAACTAGTGTACGAACAACTAGTGGAGAGACGAGTGAGTTTTCAGTGACAATAGGTTTACATCAAGGGTCAACATTGAGCCTGTATCTCTTTGTCTTAGTTATGGACTACTTAACTAGGCACCTACAGGATGAGGGACCATGGTGCATGTTGTTCGTAGATGACGTAGTTTTGATTGATGAGATTCGAAACGACATCAACACAAAGTTAGAACTTTGGAGGGATGCTCTAGAATCCAAATGTTTTAAAATTAGTCAGATTAAGACAGAGTATATGCAGTACAAATTTAGTAATAATAGGGGTAAAGACGAGGAAGTAGTTAAGATTGACTGTCAGGAAGTACAAAAAAGACTACACTTTCGATATCTTGGGTCAATAATCTTGGAAAATGGAGAGATCGTGGAAGATGTCGCGCACAAAATTAGAGCTGGGTGGGCGAAGTGGAGATGTGCAATTGGAAGTTTATGTGATCGCCACATACCAATGAGGCTGAAGGGCAAGTTCTATAGGACAATGGTGAGACCAGCTATGCTCTATTTAGCGGAATGTTGGGCAGACAAAAACAATATACCCATATAATGAGTGTAGTGGAGATGAGATGGATGAGTGGCAAGACAAGAAGAGATATAATTCACAATGAATCTATTCGAGAGAATTTAGGCATGTCACCAATAGACGATAAAATGAGAGAGAGTAGCCTTAGGTGGACTAGCCATGTGTGGCGCTGACTAAGTACAACACATATTAGGAGGTACGAATTAGTTCCAGTGGAAGGACTGAAAAGGCAAGGGGCATGCACAAAAGGGCGTGGTTGGAAGTAATCCAAAAAGATATAAGGACTTATGGCCTCATTGAGGATAGGGCTTTTAATAGAGCAGAATGAAGAACCAGGGTTCATTTAGCCAACTCCAATTAATTGGAAAAATGCTAAAATGATGATGATGATGATATTATATAGTTATATATAATAGATTGATATGTTGTAGCATGTGTTGTGGTGTAGTAAAATATAGTATATAGCATACGATTGCAGTATGGTACAACATTATATTGTTTTATAGCAGTGTTGTATATTATTGTATAGCAGTATTGCATTGTACTTTATACAACTGTGCAAGTTAAGTGCTCTTGGACGGCCTTGAGTTTTAACTAGAAGGAACTCGGTCCTATATAATTGATCCCATTTAAACTTCGATCAAGCTCCGCCACATATTTGGATTAAGATCCCTAGATTTCAGGGTGTACGAACCGTGATCCCTACCATAGGGAGCTTCCTACTTGTCACTATCCTGTGGTTCTGATCGTGATATTGGATTTGATTTGATCCCCCGACCCAAGCACTATGGTTTGGACTAGATTTTAGATTTCTAAGTGATGCTTCCCTTGCCCTTTGAGTTTAAGTCTCTCTTGCACTTTCTCTCACTCTCGCTCGCTCTCTCTCTGTATCTCTCTCTCGCATGCGCTTGTTTCATAATAAATTTATTGCTTTGGTATGCCTTAAGTTAATCAAGTGATGTAAGTCTATTGATTAGGGCTGATGTTTGTCCTTTTTTTTTTTTTTTAATTTTCTTGTCTATATTTATTGATGTGAATCTCGAGAAATGGGAGGCTACATCTTCCTGCATAAAAAATACGACCAAGGACATAACCTGAGACTTGGACCAGAAAGACATTTGCCGCTATCAACCAAAGGAAAAGGAAAATATAATAAACAACGTGCCTCTACATATCCTAATGAACACTAAATCATCCTTGGCATTGAAGAAAACGTGAGGCCTACTACTTGGGCTTTCATATCTGTATATTCTTTTCTTGTTCAACAATACTTTACTTGTGGCAACACAAATTTATGGTTTGATGTTGTCAGATGCAGTGTTTTAAAATGCGGCCGCATCATGCGGTATATGGTGGGCATCGCATCTGGAATGACCGTTTGGAGGTATGCGGGCACATATGTGCCGCATAACGCATCACTTGCATCTGGCCGCATAGTTTTCCGCCTTTTCTTTCAACTGTGCCCCTTGGGGACGAGCAAAATGGTCTTTTTGACCATCAAAATTTGGGGGAAATAGTTTGGGGGGGTATTAAAGCCCCTAAATGAGCATTTTCAGCCACATTCGTGGCTTTTTTGGGATCAAATCGAGCAAAAAAAAAGGTGGAAAGTTTTTTCATTGAGATCTTGGATTTGGGGATTGTGTGATATTTGGATATTGATTTGAACATTTTGGTTGTTGATTTGGGGAAGTTTAGGTGAACTTGTGACGACATATCGAGGGTTTCAGAGGCTGTGAAGAAATCGAGCATTGCTTCAAGAATCGGTAACTTTTTATTCTTTCTACAATAATACTTATTTTTGGGGGCAATGTCTTCTTCCCAATCTTTTAGAAATAAGGACCCGGCTTGGAAATATGCCATTCTAAAAAATTCGAAAGATCGAAATTGTGTAATTTGTATGCTATGTGGAAATACTTATATGGGTAGTATTTTTTGACAAAAAGAACACTTAGCTAAAATTTCTGGGAATGTAAGAGCATGCCCACAAGCTATCGACGATAGAAAAAAGGAGATTAGAGAATACATGGATAGCTTGAAAAAAGATAAGGGAAGAAAAAATGAAAAAAAAAGAATTACTTGATGATATACAATTATTTGATGATGATGATGATGATGATGATGATAATGATATATCTAAAGTTGCAATGATGCAAAGGGGTACTCGTACTCCAATCTCAAGAGAGGGTTATAAATACTGGTGGTAGTGGTGAAAAAAAAACACCTCTCTAAGGGGTCAATGGATATGTTTTTCACCCCTAGCATCGAAATTGTGGTTTAGGAGTGGAAGAAAAAAAATAAAACAAACCACAATTGAAAATAGATACAAGAAAGAACAAAGGA